CATTCTCAAGAACTTATTCATCGAGATTTGCATAGTGGTAATATTCTACAAGATCATTTACATAGCGCTTATATTGCAGATTTAGGGCTTTCCATATCAGAAAATATAGCATTAAATGCAGAGAGACGTGGAATTTGTGGAATTTTACCGTATATAGCACCAGAAGCCTTAGATAAAAAAAATATACTCGGAAAATCTCAAATTAATTATTTTCGAATAAAAATGATCTAAATTGAAAATTGCGACCTTTATTAAGTATGTATAATATTTTATTTGCAAATAATACTATATAAAAATGCTATTAAAGCCGAAGAAAATTTGATAAAAAATCCGCGAAAATTATGTTAGAAAATTTTATTTGAAATTATAAAAAAGCTCACGATACACTAATAATTGATAAAATTATTTTCACTATCGATCATATATATATGTTTTATTAATTTTGTAATAGGACCAAATTTCACTTTAATCAACTTCTTTATAATGAATAAAAAAAAATTTGCCAAAGAAACAAAGTCGAAAAGAATTATAAGTACACACAAAAAAAAAAAAAGGATCGTTAAAAAAATTAAGATGCAAAATATTAACAAGAAAATAATTTTATTTCCTTTAAATAATATTTTTGTACTTTATTGCATTGTTGATATATTTGAAATCCGAATACTGAAATTGGGTTTAAAATTCGGAAATTGATGTATCTTTTCCCAGATTTTTTATTTGCTTATCTTTTTTAATAGGATGTCTTGCAGGCGGCTTCGCTGCTGGTTTAATTATTATGTATAGATGCAAATTTGTACTTTCATGTTTCTAAAATAAAATGATAAAGTGTTACTTGATAATAAAAGATATAGATTTAATGAATTTATAATTTAATTTTCAGCTTAATATTTTATATATTTAACTCTGTATAAATTTTTAAAAAGTGTTTACAATAATATAATAGGCCACTGTATATGGCTTGATAAGGTATCTACTCTTTGGCAAATATTAGTGTCAAGTCAGAACTTGGAATTTTTTGTAATAGGCAACATAGTATCTGACTAGTATAATATTCTATTTAATATTTACAAAATTTTTTTCTTTTTTTTTTTTAATATAATAAATATTAATAATAAAGATTTTGAACCGGTATACAAAATCTACTAGAGATTCTGATTATTTATAAAAAGTTCTGGCATAATTTTTTTATAATTGGAAATTTTCTAGCTGCAGTCATTTAATAAAGAATACATAATCCAGATCTCACCAAAAAGATGAAAAAAATTGACAATAAATCATTAATGTTATGTTTTCTTGATGGTGTAAAATTATTATACAAATGATATAGATGAAGATAGGTGACTATTTAAATAATGAATGAATAGGTTATTAGAATTTGTCTCTTAACATTAAACTATGAAAAACAATCATTATTAATTTCTTTTTATATACTGTTTTGAACTGGACATTGAATTCAAATTTGTCTAAAAAATCTAATTTGGATGTAAATATATTTTGAACATTTGAATGTGAATAAATATATTTTACATATGATAATCGTAAATTTGATTTTAAACTTGATGCTACAATAAATATATTAAATAAATTACATCATCATGATAAATTGTCAAGATAAAATAAATTTTATTATTAGTTTATTATTTCACTTTTTCATCTTTTGCAAAAACACACTATCTGATAACCAAATCTCAATATTATCCATTTTTGCCTCAATGCATTTGAAGAAGTGCTTTCCAAATATCTTAGTAGCAAATCGACTAATAGTCGACATAAAACCTTTATAGCATGTGAAGACTTTGATTTTTGTATTAAGGTTTTACATAGATCCAGCAAATGCAAAAAAACGATCGAAAGATACTCTCCCTGCAAGGTCCACTAATGACACCTATTGCTTGGATACAATCCGCATTATTGGTTACTTATAAGTTTCTAGAATTAGATACCTTCAGATATAACGAACACATAAATTTTCTATAGCGAATTTTTTTTCAATGCACGTAAGCATTCAGAAGTGTCTATTATACAATCTTCCTCACAAGTAGATAATATTAAATGCAAATACAAAAATAGTGTATGAAAAAATCATTGTAAATAAAAAAATATATGTACCATGCGGAAATAATAATCATGGAAGTAAAAACTTCATATAATGCTTTAATTTAATTAATAAATAAACTCTGTCTTAAGCGACTTAAATTTCAAAATAAAGTACTCAATTAAATAATTTGGAATACACTAAATTTTAGTATGGGTTGAATTGGAATTCTTTAACGACTCAGGCACACTTTAGAATTCTATTACAACCTATGTTTATTTGGAATCAACCTAGGTGGATTCTAAATCCACAATAATTCCATTCCGACGCACGACATCTATAATGCTAAATAAACTCTTTTAATCATTCGAATAAATAAATAAATCTTGGATTATTTCTCCTTTGATTTTGTAAGTTCATGTTAATCAAAATAATACTCAAGCTTAGATCAAATTTAAGCAACGATTACGTACTTTATTTTAGTGGCGATACTAGGTGGATTTGGTGCTTATTTATAGAACGTAAAATTTCATTATAGATGTGCTTATTTACTGTCCTATTTTCCGAGTTTCATAATCATGAAATTAGTCGATTAAAAACCCTAGTCGATTCCTATAACTGATCCAACCCCGATAGTTTCGAATCCCAAACCGGCGAAACTAATTTACCCCAAATTCAGTACCATTATATCATAAAATATCATTTTTATTTATCAACTTATATTTTTTTGATCGATATCAAAAAATTATGAATACAATTTTAAATCCCGATTGAAAACTGGCGTAATTATCAATTGATGCCGAAAAGGTTTGGGTTACATCACTGCCTTGGTTAAATTATGATAAAAGCCTTGTATAGTAATATATATTAATATATATAAAGACTCAACTCGTAGCTTAAAAAACATGTTTTTTAAGCCACGAGTCGATCCGGTCTCTAATACTATATATAGTATATACAATACGTATCAATCGATATATAGTATCTATATACACTTATTATAAAACGCACCTATGGACCTATCATATGTTTTACAAAAATTTTCAACACAAAATTTTCATGTTAGTATTTAGGGTTTGGGTTTGGGAAGGGTTTTTAGGGGTGATTAATTAGCCAGTTTTTGAGATAATATATACATAGGTGTAAAACACCATAGGTGCGTTTAGTAAAATTCGACATATATATATTTATTCCTTATTAAAACGCTGCATAATTTTAATGAAAGAAAAATGAATAAATTTAATATTTTCAATCTACGTATGTCTAATTAATATATTATTTTCATAACCCAATGTGATCTTGTTATATATCTAGTTTCATTATACCAAACTTACTGTATATGTCTTGTATTAATCATTATTTGTACGTATCACTAATTGAAAAATAAAATTATACGTAAGGATTTTCTGAATGAAATGGCTGTCGATCGTTCATTATATGTCAAAAGATTAAAAAAATATATATATAGAACTGTAAATCTGAAGTGAGAAAAACCATACCGGGAGATATATATATGCTATTCAGGATACTTGGCCACTCCGACACGGTATACACTTTATTCTACCAAATAATAATATTGTAATCGAATCTTACTTAGCCCGCTAGATCAATTCAGTATACAAAGTTGGCAAAAAAAAAAAAAAAACTTTCTGCAAACTAAAGTGGCTTTTTTTAATTTTTTCTTTTTTAAAAAAACTTACTATTAAAACTGAAGTTACGAAAGTAATAAACTTTATTATCAATTATCAATTTTTTAACTGGGATAAAGATATATATATATTTATAGAATAGAATATAAAAAAAACTTGATATGAAACCTCTAGAGATACTACCATTGTTCTTCATTGTTGGCTTTGCGATAGTTTGTGCGGATAATACACCAATATGTTGGGATCACCTGAATCCGTTAAAACCATCTGAAAGAAAGCGAGTTTCATGTTATTCAACGACAAATACAAATTCAAATGATTTATCATTCACAAAACGTGACGAATCCGACATGTTTAATGTTACTTTTACGTGCCTGGTGAATAATCAAACGCTTTGTAACAAAGTAAAAAACGCGTTTGATTCTGCAGGGCAAATAATTGCTGCCGCGATCGCGTTCAAAACACCTGTAACTGTCAACGCAACCTTTACAAATTTTTGTTCAGTTTCGAAGCAATGTTCTTTAACTTCAGGAACGTTAGGTAAAATATTTCGTTAATTAGTGATTCAATTCGAATCTTTTTTATTAATTATTTATTAAATTTTTTAGGAGGGGCTTCTCCAGCAAGATCCATACAAATTACTGATGATGATGGTGTACAACGATTATTTCCTCAATCTCTTGTTAAACAAAAAAATTTTACTGGTATTAATCATTCTATGTACTCTGATTTTGACATTTTCGCTATTTTCAATAGTCAAGCAGGTTATTGGTTTGAGGGCGATGGTGAGATGAAAAATAGTCAGTCAGATTTTTTATTTGTTATATTACATGAGTTGATTCATGGATTAGGATTTACTTCTGGTTATGATGATTTTATTAATGTGTCACCACAGGCATTGACACCACAAATCTTTTCTGAGGGTACTGGAGATATTATATTTAGTGGATTTGTAGAAATGGTATTCGATAAATGTATGGCTATTCTTCCATCTGGTCAACGTATATCAAATATTACAAAACAACTTAATACGTTTAAAGGCACATATACTAATACCCAGGATTTTGTAACTAAATTTGAAGCATCTTCACAATATCAATTGGCTCTTAATATGATGGTTGAAGCCACCACACCAAATTCTTTAGGACTTTTCTTTTACCTCCTAAATCAACTGATATTTCAAATGCGACAATTCTTGAAACAACATTAAATCCTTATAGTTTTGGTTCAAGTGTTTGTCATTTTGATTATAAAACTTATAATAGAACTAGTGATTTCTTAATGAGATACTTGCAAGAACGTGGTTTAACATTACGTCAATTCATATATTTGGGTGGGAATTATCCTTATGGTCCTATAGGTCCAAAATTACGAAGTTTTTTACAGTCAATTAAAAGTTTTGCAATTTATTTAATGCGGAATGAACAGAATTTTAACAATCATCATATTAATATATATATATATTAGATATACTATTCAATATAAACCTGGTCCATTTGATCCTACTCCTGGCTATGGTTAACAATTAGGTGGCCGGATTTGTGTTGCCGGTATTTTCTAAATTTTCGTATTCGTTCAACAAATAGTTCATTGTTACAAGTGTAACTTGATAGTCTTGTGTTTGTCGTATTTTAATTCTATATGC